CTGCGGGCGTGCTCCAAGGCTTTGCTCCCTGTCTCCCTGGTCTGCAGGGAGATGGGGAGCAAAGCCGTGGAGCACGCCCGCAGGGTGACAGCTCAAGCGTGCTCTGGCTGTCCCGCTGCGGGCGTGCTCCAAGGCTTTGCTCCCTGTCTCCCTGCAGACCAGGGAGAGGGGGAGCAGCTTTTCTCGCCCCGGAGGATGGGGGCAGCGGACTGCGGCGCATCTGGGCGTCCCGCTGCTTCCGTCCTCCGGGGAGAGAAAAGCCCCGTTCGTAACTGCGGATCCGACATAAGTCAGATCCGCGTAACTCGGGGACTGCATGTATATGGTGTTTTAAAATGCAAATCACAACATAAGCTGGCAGAGCAATTCGCTGAAGAAAACGTTCGTTGCAGTCATGCCTGTTCCTTAAGGAATAGTGGCTTTAACAAGAATGTGAAATGTTTACTATAATCAAAAAATAAAATAAGAAAAATACCCCTGTTTGAACTACAACCTACCCTATGACCTTGGACATGGAGACTTTCTTATCCTTTGTGTTCCACTCTTAGGGTATGTCTGCACAGCAGGGCTAAACTTGAAATAAGCTACACAACTTGAGCTACGCTGATCGCGTAGCTTAAGTTGAAATAGCTTATTTTGACTTTTGGCACTATCTACACAGCAGTTATTTTGAGAGAGCACTCTTCCCCTGACTTTGCTTACTCCTCATACAATGAAGATTACAGGAGTCATACGCAGTTCTCCAGTTCTCAACATTATTTTGACATTGTTGAAATACCTGCTTGTGTGTAGACTCAGTGTTATTTGGGAATAATGTCAGTTATTCCAAAATAACGCTGCTGTTTAGACATATAGCCTTATTGTCCTTTCCTTAAACATCTGTGCAAGGGAAATGTAAATTAACTCTTTGCTCATCAGAGGCTAGGTCTTGTCCTTTAGAGTCTGTTTATTCATTTGTAAGACAATAATTGAAGTAGAAGCTTTCTAAGATTATTCTATTTACAAGCTGGTATTTGTAGACGGAATATATATGAAATGGTTTAGATTTACTTAGCTTTCTCAACTTGAAAGCGATGATGTCTGATCAAAAGGTGCTAGTGACTCCTCAGTTCTAATCCTGGCACACTGGCTTTTCTCTTTCTCTAACACTGGGCCTTACTCCTTTCCCTCCATTTCCCCATCTCCACTTCCCTGTCTTACAAGTGCTTTGTTAATTCATTAATTTTATAAGGCATTCTGAAGATGATAAAATGTTTTGTATTTTCAATTTTGCCTATTGTTGTTTTTCTGCAGCGTTGATAATTTTGGACTTGGTCTTTTACTTCAAACTAAGCAGATTAAACGAATGATATCATCCTATGTTGGAGAAAATGCAGAATTTGAACGACAATACTTATCTGGAGAGTTGGAAGTTGAGCTTACACCTCAGGTAAGCTGCTTTCTGTAAAGATATGTCATTATTCTTGTCATCTGTAGTAATGTATAATTCCCACCTTCTTTTTAAGATGTCTTTTTTCTCTTTTACTATTTTAGAATAAAGATATTTTCCATGTAGGTTTGTGTGTGGTCTGTACACCCACCCACCCACCAGTTATTCTCACATCATGGCCTGCAAACTGCTGCTGCTCTGTTTTGAAATGACCGATCATGCAATATAAACTTTTCTTGTTATCATCTGATGATAAATCACCTTAAAAGGCTTCTTACTAAGAAATTAAATATTTGTATTGTTCACTGTTTGTTTCTAGAAGTGCCTGAAGCCTGCTAGGCAAATGTACAAGAGAGAAGGCCTTGTCCAGGAGAACTTGCACCCTTAAAAGTACAAGATACTGCGTTGAGCAAAATGGCAAGGAAGAGTCAGCTTTGGGGACTGACCTGGGATTGGGGGTTAGTGGGGCAGATTTTATGGGAGGAGAAATGGGTCAACTATTTGAGAGTAAAACCGAGTGAAGTGGAGGAAATAGATGACTGCATCTGTTGAGGTGATTGGGGAAAGAACTGGGAAACAGATGTTCAGTGAGGAATAAAGTCCAGGGCATTGATAGACTGGGGGTCATGGAAGGATCAGGTGAAAGTAAAGGGTCTAGGACCATGCTGAAAGAGATGGAGGGAAACATTTAAAATACTGAGGGATCCAAGGAAGAGCAGTGCATTGAAAAGATATGGTTGAACGAATGGTTATTCTGGCATTGATCCAGGATTGAAAGTCAAACGACAATATGGGAGGTTAAGGGATTAAATGAAGTAAACACAGATGAGAGTGATAAACTGTAAAGAGAAGATGATTAGCCAGGTGTTAAAATGGAGAAGAAGGTGTTTTGGAGAGGGATTATGTACAGGGATGTTATGCAAGCATGTATAGGCAGGAAGATGGTTCATAAAATACAGGCAGTCCCCGAGTTACACAGATCCGACTTACGTCAGATCCGCAGTTATGAACGGGGCCGTCTCCCTGGTCTCCAGCAGACCAGGGAGAGGAAGCAAAGTGGCGGAGCATGCGGGCAGTGGACAGCCCAGACGTGTCCGCTCCTCAGCGCTACTGGACCAACCCGGCAGCACCCCAGCTGCTCTGCCCCAGGCGTCCTGATTCAGCCACTGCTGGTCAGTTTCAGCAGCGGCTGAATCTGGACGCCAGTTCCGACTTACATACAGATTCAACTTAAGAACAAACCTACAGTCCCTATCTTGTACGTAACCCGGGGACTACCTGTACTCTTTATACACAGCTATGCTTCATGTTATGAAAAAAGTTAGAGAGACTCTGAGTCAAGGTATTTGCTTCATCTTTGTGTATTAGATCAGAAGTAAATTTGTAACTTCTGCCATCTAGTGGAAAATAATTAAAATTGGAGTTTTAAGTTGCATACTGTGAAACTTTAAACATGAATAACACATTGGTTAAATCTAACAGTACTTTTTTGAGTGTAAATCTCAGTGGGCACATCTACACAGCAGGGCTAAAGCCAAAATAAGCTATGCAACCTGAGTTGCATCAATTGCGTAGCTTAAGTCGAGAGAGGTTATTTCAGCTTTTGGCACTGTCTGCACAGCAGGAAGTCTGAGGTAGAGCACTCTTCCTGTGGTTTCCCTTTCTCATATAATGTGGGTTACAGGAGTCAGAGTTAAAGTCCTCCAGCTCGACATTATTTTGACATAATGTCAAAATAACAGCTTGTAGTGTAGACACAGACTATTTTGTCTGTTATTCCAAAATAATGCTGCTGTGTAGACATAGCGGCTGTGTCTACACTGGCCACATAACCCGTAATAGCTATGGAAATGAGAGAAGTCAGAATAGGGAAATGCGCGGGGGATTTAAATCTTCCCCCATGGGATTTAAATAAACAGGGCCGCCGCTTTTTTCCGGCTTGGGGAAAAGCCGGAAAAGAGCGTCCAGACTGGCGCGATCCTCCGGAATAAAGCCCTATTCCGGAGGATCTCTTATTCCTACTTGCAAGCCTTTATTCCGGAGGATCGCGCCAGTCTGGACGCTCTTTTCCGGCTTATCTCCAAGCTGGAAAAAAGTGGCGGCCATGAAAATGCAAATGCCACGGGGGATATTTAAATCTCCCGTGCATTTGTCTCTTCCCAAGTTCTACATTAGCATGCCTATTTCGTAATAGGCGGCCAGTGTAGACGTAGCCAGCCAGTATAACATATTGGGTTAAAATTTAATTCTTACAAGCTAGCTTTTCAGATCAACCCAGCTATGGCAGATCTTGCACTAAAGGATTTTCACAGATGTTGGATACAGGGGTATCCTGGAATGTATCAATAACACTAATATTGATCTAATATTGTAAACCTGACTGGATAATTCTAAAACATGTGGCTAGTCACTAAAATATAAGCTCTGTGATTTCAAAGGCTAAGACATAGTGTGGAATGAAGGGTGTCATGAATTAAAGCTGCTGTAAGAGACACCATCTTTGTGTTATGCAGAGCTAACCCAAATACATATAGACTGCACAGTTGCTCTTGGCTATGTGCTACTGAAAATGATGCTTGTCAGAACACTAGAGATGAAGAAGCAGCCTGTGTCCCTTTCTATCCAATTGGCTAGAATAGCCTTGGCTCCTGCCACTTTCTCAGCTACCAACATTAGTGTATCCTGTGGTAAATACCACCTATCCAGAGTCTCAAGCAGTTCTCCTCCCCCTCCCACACTTTGTGACCAGTACCATCAACCTGAAGACCTAACAGATTTCTCAAATGTGAGAATTTGTGGTCTGGAATTCCAGTATGTCGATATTGGGTATTCTGAGTGCATGTTTTGAACAGTAAGGTTCATTAATCACTGGAACAACTTGCCAAGGGGTGTAGTAGATTCTATATCATATGAAATATTTAAATTAAGATTGTATGTCTTTCTTAAAGATATGTTGTAGTTCAGTCATAAGTAACTAGGTTTGATACAGGCATTACTAGGTGATATTCAATAGCTGGTGTAATACTGAAGGTCAGACTAAGTCATCACAGCAATGATCCATTCTTGCCTTAAAATCTGTTTTAATATAATTTGGGAGAGTTGATTAAAGAAAGATACATTTCTCAGCCAAGATAATTTTAAAACAAATTAACCCAAAACAATTGTTTGTAGTTGATCCAGGCTTTTGAATGCCAATGGTGGAGATGCTGCAAAGTGTAAAAGAGGCAGATCAATGTACATATTAAATGCAGTATATCATTGTGCTCAGCTGAGTCCTAAAACCTTGGAAAGAGCTAGCTCCTAGCTTGCCTGCGTCACAATGATCACCACTTATTTGGCACTCACTAAGAGATCTCAGGATTACTGACTCTGTCTCCTGCTTAAACTAATAGGTATTGCTGCCTCAATTTTGAGTATAGCATCAGTTATGTTTTCCCTGGAAACTTCAGACAATAAGGACTAAAAATTAGGCAAATAAGTTTGGTATAAAAATCTGTTTATATTAATGCTGATTGCATAGTGGAGAATAGAAAAGAGAAGAAAAAGTGTGTGGATTTGAGTAATACACAAGCAAACAAGCTAGAGAAAGTAGGTTATAAAAGACCAAGACAAGAAGCTGAATACTGAGTGAATGGGGAGTTCAGGTACAGTCCCAAGATACAAGAACCAAAAATCCCACAAAAGTGTCTTTTATTGAAGTGGCTGGTCTTACAGGAAAATCAAATCAAAGTAATTGCTGTGTACTTCTGAACTTGTTCTCTTTTAGGGTACACTTGCTGAGCGAGTCCGTGCAGGAGGGGCAGGAATTCCAGCATTTTTCACAAGCACAGGCTATGGGACGTTGGTACAAGAAGGAGGAGCCCCTATCAAATACAACAAAGATGGTAGCATTGCCATTGCCAGTCAGCCAAGAGAGGTAAGATGCCATTCTGTTTCACTAACGCTTGGGGATTGGAATCTGAATTCCTTTCTGGGTCACAATTTAAACAACAATGTAAGCGCCTCCAAGCCATTCTTAATTGAGAGGTTACAGATTAATAATTATGTGAATTCAGAAGCCTCAGGAAACTAGCTTGTTAAAGGGAAGCAGGATTACTTAACATGAACACATTCAGACACCACTGTTAGGGCAAGTCTTCACATACCATTTGCATTGAGGTAGCTGCATCAGGCAGCTGTAGCTTTCTATCATTTAAGTGAAGATGCACTTCTGCCAATGGGAGAGCTTCTCCTGTTGGTGAAGTTAATCCACCAACAGGATTCTGTATTCCATGAAATATTTAAATTTAAGTTTGTATGTCTTTCTAAAAGATACACTGTAGTCCAGTCACAAATATATATTGTTTGCTTGGACCCAATTTATCATTGAGAAGTCCTGTGGTACCTTTTGAGATTCACAAAAAATATATAGCTTCAGAGGAGTAGCCAAGTTAGTCTTTAAGGTGCTATTAGACTATTTGTTTAATTTTTTCCTGTTAAAGACTAACAAAACGTGTAGATGGTATCATGACCTTGTGGGCACAACCCACTTCTTCAGATGACAGGAGTGTTGGAAGTCCAGATCCAAGAATAAGTAAGGGAAGAGAAAGGGGAGTGGGGGCAGGGGCGGCCCATCCATATAGGCGAACTAGTCGGTTGCCTAGGGCGCCAAGTTAAATGGGGCGCCAAATGGTGGTGCAATATTATTAAGAGGTTTGGAGATGGGGGTGCCAATTGCTTGGCGCGCCTAGGGTGTCAGTTGTTGGTAGCTAGTCTAGGGCCGCCCCTTGGTGGGAGTAGGGAGGGGGTTAGAAGGAGGGAAAAAATGGAGGGGAGGAAGAGAAAAAGAGACCGTGAGTAGATAAGCTTTAAAGGGATAGCAGAGTTAGTCTGTAATACGAAAAACTTAAACAACAAATAGTCTAATAGCACCTTAAAGACTAAATAGTTACAAGAGGCTGATAAGGGCATGTCTAGACTATATCCCTCTTTCGAAAGAAGGATGTAAATTAGACAGATCAAAATGGCAAATGATGCCGTGATTTAAATTTCCCTCATTCATTTGCATAATGGCATTCGCGCATTCTTTCGAAAAAGGGCTTTTCGTCTAGTTGGGGATCTTTCCCTTTTCCGAAAGATCCTGTACTCCTTATCAAGTGGGATGTAGTCAGTGTTTGCACTTGGAAAGGAAGATGATCAACATCAGATTCTACACAGACATTAAGAACCATTAACACCTTCATTGGTTGGTTAAGTCATAAGATGTGGAAGATAATCTGCAAGCCATTGGATATCCCAGTTCATACCATTTGCATAAGAATTAAACTTGTGAATGAAGTTAAATTCCAACCTTTCTCTGTGTATTTGGCTTGTGGAATTGGTCTGAAACAAAACAGCAACTTGGAGATCTAGTAATGAGTGTCCAGGAAGATTAAAGTGTTCTCCAACAGGTTTTTGGATATCTGACTTGTGTCCATTAATTCTTTCCCGTAAAGACTGTCCAGTTTGGCCAATATACATTGCAATGGGGCACTGCTGGCATTTGATGGCATCACATTAGTGGATGTGCAGTTAAATGAGCCTCTGATTTGGAGGCTGAAGTGGTTGGGTCCAGTGATGAAATTGCTTGTGTAGATGTGTGGGCAGAGTTGGCACTGGGGCAGATTGCAAGGGTGGGTTCCTAGATGATTATTATGGAGGTGTGTTGCATGGTTATTGGAAAGAATTTGTTTGAGGTTAGCAGGCTGTCTGTAAGCAAGAATTGACCTTTCCCCCAAGGCCTCTGAGAGTGAGGGGTCATTTTCCAAGATAGGTTGTAGATTGTTGATAATGCATTGGAGGGATCTGAGTTGTGGACTGTAGGTCATAACAAGTGGAATTCTGTCTTCTCTTTTGGGCCTGTCTTGAAGTTATTCATATCTGGGTACTTTTTTGGCTCTGTTGATCTGTTTCCCCCCTCCCCTCCAGTTCTCCAGGTGGGTATTTCAGTGTTAAGAACACTCTATATAGATCCTGCAGGTGTTTGTCTCTATTGGTGGGGGGTCAAGCAAATCTGCTTGTATCTTCAGGCTTGACTAAATACAATAGATTGAAAAATGTGTCTGGGATGGAAGCTAGAGGCATGAAGATAAGTGTAGCAGTCAGTAGGTTTCCAGTATAGGGTGGTGGAAACTTGTCCATCATTTAATTGTACAGTAGTGTCAAGGAAGTGGATTTCTCATGTGGAGTGATCCAGGCTGAAGTTGATAGTGGGGTGGAAGTTGTTGAAATCCATGTGAAATTCTTCAAGTATGTCTTTCCCGTGGGTCCATATGATGAAGATATCCTCGATGTAATGCAAGTAGAGTAAAGGTGCTAGGGGGCAAGAGCTAAGGAAACATTGTTCAAGGTCAGCCATAAAGGAGTTGGCTTATTGTGGTGTCATGTTGGTTCCCATGGCTGTGCCACTGACTTGAAGATACAAATTGTCTCTGAATCGGAAGTAGTTGTGGGTGAGGACAAAGTCTCAGAGCTCTGTAATCAGGTGTGCAGTGCTGTCATTGGCGATGGTGTTCCTGATGGCTTGTAATCCGTCTTCATTTGGAATGTTGGTGTAAAGGGCTTTTACATCGATAGTGGCCAGGATGGTATTTTTTCAGGTAGATTACTGATGTTTTGTAATTTCCTCAGGAAGTTGGTGGTGTCGCAAAGGTAGCTAGGAGTGCTGGTAGCATAGGGTCTGAGGAGAGAGTCAGTATAGCCACATAATCCTGTTGTTAGTGTTCCAATGCTTGAGGTGATGGGCTGTCCAGAATTTCCAGGTTTGTGTATCTTGGGTAGCAGATAGAAAACTCCTGGTCAGGGATTAGGGGATGTGTATGTGTAGATTTGGTCCTGAGCAACATCTGGGAGCTTCATGCGCAGTTTTCAGGGGTTTTTTTGTATTCTTTAGTGGGATCACAGGAGAGAGGCTTGTAGAGTCTGGTATTGGTGAGTTGTCTGGTTGCCTCCTGTTCATAATCTCTTCTGTTCATAACGACTATAGCACCCCTTTTGTCAAATATATAGAAAATCGTGAGCTTTCATGGGTAAAACCCACTTCTTCAGATGAGTTGGACTGGAAATAACAGGAATCCAGAATTTATAACAGAAAAAGAAGGGGGAAAAGTTACCTGTCAATAATAATACCAGTGCTAATGAGGTTAATTGTGTGGGCTGGAAATGTCCCATACTTGGCTTTTGAGGTAAATGAGGTGTTAAATGCTTTATAATGCGACATCCAGGTAATGTTTTTTTCTCAAGCCGGGGGAAACAGTGTCAAATTTGTATATGAAGGTCAATTCTGCACTCTCTGTAACTGGCTTGTGAAATTTCTTTGTAAAAGAATGTCTACTTTAAAATCCATTAATGAGTGCCCAAGCAGGTTAAAATGTTCTCCTACAGCAGGGGTGGGGAATCTGCAGCCTCTAGCTTGCCTGGGTCCTGTCACTGAGGCATGGGGATCCCCCCCCCCCAGCATTGGGGAGCCTGCACTGGCACTCAAGCCCTCCTACTCTCCCCCCCCCCACTGTCCTACTGTGGGGCTGGAGCACACAAAATCTACTTTTCTGGGGGTCAGCAGCCCCCAACCCAAAAAAGGTTCCCCTACAGGTTTGTGTTACCATTCCTGATGTCCAACATGTGTCCATTTATCCTTTGTTGCACAGTCTGTCCAGTTTGGCCAATATATATTTCAGAGGGGTATTGTTAGCACTTGATGGCATATATCACATTAGAGAATGTACAGGTGTAAAAGCCCCTGATATCGTGGCTTATGTGATTATGTCCTGTGATAGTATTGCTTGTATAGATGTGTGATCAGAGTTGGCAATGGGTTTATATTCATTACTATAAACTTCCCCCTCTTTTTCCTATTTTTTTTTTATAGCTTCCTTCACTTCTTTTCCCTTCTAAACCAGGTCAGATTTTTAACCAGTTGTCTTCCTCAGTTGTGGAATTGTGGTGCCTGGGGCATTTTATGAAGTTTTCTTAAATTTAAAGCCAATTGTCATTCACATTTTTCTGACTAAATTCTTCCTCCCCACTGATTTGGCTCATAATTGTTTTCATCTTCGTTAACTGGCCCAATTAAAGCAGCAAGTGTGAATATCTATTACTATCATTGTTTACCTCTCAATGGATATGCTCAATTTCTGTTATTCTTAATTGGATTACAGATCAAGGGAGAGAAGATGCTTTTTCTAGTTTAAATAAGACTGAAATAGGAAATATCAGTATTTTAAAAAAATTGAGGGCAGGAAAGTTGAGTTGATCAAACTTTTTATGCTTATAAGCAGTAAGATTAAAAACCAAATTTCAAAGGAAGTTCTTAATTTATTTCTTTTCATTTGAAGATTTAAGATTAAGTCTAAAATATACTAATATTGCTTTAGACATATTTAATAAAATTAATTCAGCTTTGTTTATAGCTAGGATATTTCTCCGGTTTACTTTACAGTAATTACAATATCTCTGAGCTGTTCCAGAGTCAACATTTTAGTTCAATTAGATTATGATTAGGTGTTTACTGTCACAGCAAAACAGACCTGTAAGAGAAGTGTCAATTTAAGAGCTAATGAAAATATTTGTGTTCTTTAGGACTGGGGCCCGGAGCACAGTGGCTGCTGGCCTCTCCCCCAGGGGAATATAGAATAGTCAAGTAACCAATAAATATTCATGGGGTTAATCGACTATTCAGTTAACCAATATTTAACATCCCTAGCTACTTGCAAATTCTATATTACTATTCTTGGCTCTTATATAATACTCTTAAGACTATACAGAGTTTGGCTTGCTGATTTATTTCATTTTGGTTTGTTTTGAATTTCATGGTAACATTCAAGAAATTGTTAAAAATTTTCATCATTGCTTTTTCCCCCTCTATCCACTCTAACGCGGTTCTGCATGGACAATCCAGATCCTCCTTCTTAGGTCCATGACCTTTGTTGATAGACCGCAGTAACTGATATATATATTTTTTTAAATAATGTGCTGATGGATGGCTGACCATATTTCCTGTCCTCTGGTGACTAACTTGATTTCAATTCACATCCTGTTCTATTTTCCTTAGTGCTATACATTCAGTTTTGCTTGGATTATCGGTAAGAAATCAGGAAGAAAATAGAGCTGTTTTCTGTAAAATCTAGAGATAATTTTACCAGAACACCATAGCCAATTTTTTCCTTACTGTCTCTCCCATGTTTTGCTTTTGCTACGTTTAGCACCGGTTTTAAGCAGGGGCGGATATACGGCAGGGCGAGCGGGGTGGCCGCCCCAGGCCCCGCGCTTCAAAAAGCCCCGCGCATGCACCGTGGCGCCAACACACATGCGCGTTGCGTCACTGCACATGCACCATGGCAAAGGGGGGCCCCGCAAGATTATGCTGCCCTTGGCCCCGCAAAATGGTCATCTGCCCCTGGTTTTAAGAGTACTGTAAGGTCATAATTCAGGAAAATTATTAGCTTCCTAAATATAGAAACTCATTTTGTGGCTAGCCACAAGATTCATCTTATTTCATGGCACCATTAAAATAGTTGGTTCTTGATTTGAGTTACATTACACTTATGAGTTGCATTATCAAGCTACACAGCACCAAAAGAAAATAAGTTCTGTGAACAATGGGTGACATTCCTCACTGTAACAGGTGTCTGCATGAGTGCAATATATTACTTAAATCCTCAAAAATTGGACTTAAGCAGCATTAAGACCAGTATAAATATCAATTCTGTAAATATCACTGTTGCAACTCAAAGGCATTGCTGTTTTGTGTGAGCTGCTGGAAATACAGCATAATGCATGCTGACTTCCAGTAGGTGGTGCCATAGAAACAGGTAATCTGTTTCAGTTTTATTTTTCTTTAAAGAAAAGACGCTAAAGAAGGACGCTAGAGCAACTAAAAAAGTCAAGTTATTGATTTCTTATGTGCCTCTGTTATTATCCACTTGAACTATATAACCCATAAGGCATAACTACACATAAACACAAAAGAAAGTTTAAATTGAATTGTCTATAAAATAAATCACATAAAATAAGTATTATATCGGATGTCTTTTTGCTGCTGCCTGCATCTCAGCAGTGCATTGCTGTTCCTTACAGGTGCGGGAGTTTGAAGGTCGCCACTATATTATGGAGAAATCAATTACAGGTGATTTTGCACTTGTGAAGGCATGGAAGGCTGATCGCTCAGGAAACGTTATTTTCAGGTATGACCTGTTTGCCAGTGGAGAAAGATTCTTTCATAGTTTGAAGCAATATCAAAGGAAAATGGAATCCTGTCTCCTGTTTGATGGCAAATGAATATTTTACTGACTTTAGGGCAAAGCAACATGAATAAAAGTAATGTCAAATTAGAATACTATGAAAGGTCAAAAATAATTTAATATTTTAATGGTTTTCAAGAATACAAGCACATCTGTGACATTTTTAAAAAATGATAAAATTGAGGCATGGCTGATAAAAACCACTAGTGCTTCCTGGAACACACAGCTTTCTGTATAGACTAAAATTTTTGAATAAAGGTGTCAGTTAATTTGTTTTGATGAACAGTTGGGTAGGGTCATAGGTGACAACAAGAGCTAGCTGCATTTAGTCTTCAGTCCAACCAATAAGCTTAATTCTGAGCCATTGAAGCCAATGGTTCAACTCCTAGTGACTTCACTCTTGCAGGAGCAGAAAATTTATGATACACACGCGCGCACACACACACACACTTTGTGATTGCAAAACTTACACATCTATAGAGCGGTGAATTATGTCTAGGTTACTTACAGCAATGGAGATTCCATAACCTCCCTAAGTAGTTTATTCCAGTTCTTAAGCACCCTGACAGTTAGGAAGTTTTTCCTAATGACCAGTCTAAATTTCCCTTGCTGTAATTTAAGCCCATTGCTTCTTATCCCATCATCGGAGGTCAAGGAAAATCATTTTTCTCCCTCTTCCTTATGTAATACCTTTTTAGGTACTTGAAAGCTGGAATCATGTCCCCTCTTGGTCTTCTCCTTTCTAAACTAAACAAACCAAGTTCTTTCAGTCTTCCCTCATAGGTCATGTTTTCTAGACCTTTAATCATTTTTGTTGCTCTTCTTTGGACCTTCTCCAATTTTTCCACATCTTTCTTGAAGTGTGGTACCCAGAACTTGACATGATACTCCATTTTTAGACCTAATAGTACAGAGTAGAGGGGAAGAATTACTTCTCATGTATTGATCATAAACTTTCCTATTAATATATCCCAGAATCATGTTTGCTTATTTTGCAACAATGTCACACTGTTGACTCATATTTAGCTTATAGCCCACTATGATCCTTAGATCTCTCACACTTTTTTTTTCAGTATTCCTTCCTAGTCACTTTCCATGCAGTATATATGAAACTTATTGTTCCTTCCTAAGTGCAGTACTTTTGTATTTGTCCTTATTAAACGTCATCCTGTTTACCTCAGACCATTTATCCAATTTGTCCAGATCATTTTGAATTATGACCCTGTCCTCCAAAGCAGTTGCAACCCCTCCCAGCTTGGTATCATCCGCAAACTTAATAAGCGTACTCTCTACGGTGATATCTAAATCGCGGATGAAGATACTGAACAGAACTGGTCCTAAAACAGACACCCGTGGAACCCCACTTGTTATACATTTCCAGCAGGATTGTGAACCATTAATTACTGCTCTCTGAGAATGGTTATCCAGCCAGTTATGCACCCACCTTATAGTATCCCCATCGAAGTTGTATTTGCCTACTTTATTGATAAAAATATCATGTAAGACTGTATCAAATGCCTTACTAAAGTATACCACATCTAAGTATACCACATCCACCGCTTCTCCCTTATCCACAAGACTCGTTATCCTATCAATGAAAACTATCAGATGGTTTGACATGATTTGTTATTTACAAATCCATGCTGGCTGTTCCCTCTCACCTTATTATCTTCCAAGTGTTTGCAGATGATTTCCTTAATTACTTTCTCTGTTATCTTTCCTGGCACTGAAGTTAAACTGACTGGTCTGTAGTTTCCTGGGTTGTTCTTATTTCCCTTTTTATAGATGGGCACTATATTTGCCCTTTTCCAGTCTTCTGGAATCTCTCCTTTCTTCCATCATTTTCCGAAGCTGATAGCTAAAGGCTCAGATACCTCCTCTATCAGTTTCTTGAGTATTCTAGGATGCATTTCATCAGGCCCTGGTGATTTTCAGACATCTAACTTTTCTAAGTGATTTTTAACTGGCTCTTTTTAAATTTTCTCTTCTAAAACTACCCCTTCCCACTAGCATTCACTGTTAGGCATTCCTTCATCAGACTTCTTGGTGAAGACCGAAACAAAGACGTCATTAAGCATCTCTGCCATTTCCAAGTTTTCTGTTACTGTTTCTCCCTCATCACTGAACAATGGGCCTACCCTCTCCTTGGTCTTCCTCTTGCTTCAGTCTTTAATGAAGCTAATGAAGAGCTTAGGGATAATGGCAACATAACAAATGGGAATACGGATATGGAGGTAGATATTACCAAAGCCGAGAGAGAAGCCAAACTCAAACATCTTAATGGGAATAAATCTTCATTCAAGAATATTAAAAGAACTGGCACATGAAATTGCAAGTCCATTAGCAAAATTTTTTAATGAATTTCTAAACTCAGGGGTTGTATCATTTGACAGGAGAATTGCTAATATAGTTCCTATTTTCAAGAAAGGGGGGGGGAAAAAGTGACCTGGGTAACTGTAGGCCTGTTAGTTTGACATCTGTAGTATGCAAGATCTTGGAAAAAATTTTGAAGGAGAAAGTAGTTAGGGACATTAAGGTTAATGGCAATTGGGACAAATTACAACGTGGTTTTACAAAAGGTAGATCATACCAAACCAACCAGATCTCCTTCTTTGAGAAAGTAACAGATTTTTTAGATCAAGGAAATGTAGTGGATCTACTCTACCTCCATTTCACTAAGGCATTTGATACAGTACCACATGGGGAATTATTGGTTAAATTGGAAAAGATGGGGATCAATATGAAAATTGAGAGGTGGATAAGGAACTGGTTAAAGGGGAGACTACAGCAAGTCATACTGACAGGTGAACTGTCAGGCTGGAGAGAGGTTACTAGCGGAGTTCCTTAGGGATCAGTTCTGGGTCCATTATTATTTAATCTTTTTATTACTGATCTCAGCACTAAAAGTTGGAGTGTGCTAATAAAGTTTGCGGATGACACAAAGTTGGGAGGTATTGCTAATTCAGAAAAGGATTGGGATATCATACAGGAAGATCTGGATGATCTTGTAAATTGGAGTAATAGTAATAGGATGATATTTAGGGATTAATAACAAAAATTTTAGTTATAAGCTGGGGATATATCAGTTGGAAATAATAGAAGAGGAGAAGGACCTCTGAATTCTGGTTGATCACAGGATGACTATGAGCCGCCAATGTGACATGGCCATGAAAAAGGCTAATACGGTTTTGGGATGCATTAGGCGAGGTATTTACAGTAGACATAAGGAGGTGTTAGTGCCGTTATATAGAGAATTGGTGAGACCTCATTTGGAATACTGTGTGCAGTTCTGGTCTCCATGTTTAAGGAGGATGAATTCAAATTGGAACAGGTACAAAGAAGGCCACTAGGATGATCCGAGGAATGGAAAACTTGTCTTATGAAAGGAGATTCAAGGAACTTGGCTTGTTTACCCTAACCAAAAGAAGGCTGAGGGGAGATATGATTGCTCTCTTTAAATATATTAGAGGGATAAATGCCAGGGAGGAAGAGGAATTATTTAAGCTTAATACAAATACAAGAACAAATGGATATACGCTGGCTATTAGGAAGTTTAGACTCGAAATTAGGCGAAGGTTTCTAACCATCAAAGGAGTGAAGTTCTGGAACGGCCTTCCAAGGGAAGTAGTGGGGGCAAAAGACCTATCTGGCTTTAAGATTAAGCTAGATGGGTTTATGAAGTGAATGGTTTGAGGAGATAACATGATCTTGTCAATTAATTGACCTTTCACTATCGGTAAATAGGCCAATGGTGGGAAGATAGGAGTCACTATAGAGAACTTTTTTCTGGGTGTCTGGTTGGCGAGTCTAGCCCACATACTCAGGGGTCAGTTACTGGTTTCAATCACATTATTCCCAATTTACACCATTGTGAGATCAGAGTTAGTCTAAAGTCATCTTTCAAAGCGTTAACTCATTAATCCACTGAAACTGAGATTTTACAATAACGTTTCAAGGCAAAATGCCATGGAGATCCTTGGGTTTCCAATTCCATGGGTCTCAGACTCATAGGCTGTGTCTACACTGCACCCCTTTTCCAGAAAAGGGATGCAGATTAGACACATTGGTATTGCAAATGAAGCGGGGGATTTAAATCTCCCCCGCTTCATTTGTATAAACATGGCTGCTGCTTTTTTCCGGCTCGGGGCTTTGCCGGAGAAAAGCGCCAGTCTAGACGGGGATCTTTCAGAAAATAAAGCCTTTTCCGAAAGATCCCTTATCCCTGATTTTAAGAGGAATAAGGGATCTTTCGGAAAAGGCTTTATTTTCTGAAAGATCCCCGTCTAGACTGGCGCTTTTCTCCGGCAAAGCCCCGAGCCGGAAAAAAGCAGCAGCCATGTTTATACAAATGAAGCGGGGGAGATTTAAATCCCCCGCTTCATTTGCAATACCAATGTGTCTAATCTGCATCCCTTTTCTGGAAAAGGGGTGCAGTGTAGACACAGCCTATGAGTCTGAGACCCATGGAATTGGAAACCCAAGGATCTCCATGGCATTTTGCCTTGAAACGTTATTGTAAAATCTCAGTTTCAGTGGATTAATGAGTTAACGCTTTGAAAGATGACTTTAGACTAACTCTGATCTCACAATGGTGTAAATTGGGAATAATGTGATTGAAACCAGTAGTTTCAGAGGTCTAAAAACTTACATATATGAGACTGAGATTGTCTGCAATGTTGTCGTAGCTGTGTTCATCCCAAGCTATTGGAGAGAGACAGCATGGACTAGGTAAGATATTTGGTTGGACCACCTTCTTTTGATGAGAGCTTGTCTATCTTGCCAACAAACATTGGACCAATAAAAGATGTAAATGGCATTGGCAACATTCTCTCCTTAAGCCTCATATATACTTACAGGGATGTATATAGTACATTAGTTACATGCTGTTATGTCCACACTTATTGTGGTGTGTAGTTTTCACTGCACTAGTGACATTGGGGAGACTCTCCAGCACTATGTAAATTAGCAGATGAGACATCAGAAGCACTGCATGGGCATGTAGAGAGTCATGTAGGCTATATAACAGAGGTTTCAGCAATGGAGAGTGCTCTGTTCACCTCAGCTATGCCACTTGCTGGTTAGTATTAATAAAAGCATTTCCATCTCTGTATTTGGCCATGGACTTTCATTTTCACTCCATCTTTGTACTACATTAGAAACTGGAACAAAACTGTGTAGTGCATGCTACATCTAGGCATTTGACACAACATAAAAAACCAGAAGAGGGCACTGAAAGCCCATATTTCATCATGGTACAAGTGCATAAAACAGAGTGAAGAGACAAGGGATAAAGCCTTAGAAATTAGAGGTCTGGCCAGAAAAAAGTATGTTTTTTGCCAGATTTTTACAGTTCTCAACATTTCTTTTCAATGTAGAACAAAAACAAGAACTTTTTTTAACCAAGAACATGAGGGAGAGACCCGCTCCAGACCGGCCAATAGCTTGGTGTTTAGGACTCTCAACTAGCATGTGAAACATTCAGAGTCAAGTCTTTGCACTCTGTCCAGAGCATGGACTTGAACCTGTGTCTGACACATTCCAGACAGGTACTCTAGTTACTGTAGAGTGTGACTGCCTTTTCTTTCTCTCTGTTTCTTTCTTTGTTTCTCTGTGATTTTTGTCCTCATAAACTGTTTCACTTTGGCCCAATGAATATGTAATTGTTTATACAAAGAGAAGAAGACTAGTTTATTCCATCTTTGATTTTGGCCAGAAATTTCATACCGGACTTGAAAAACTTGATTAAATGTACATTGAAACACTTTGGTTTTGATGGGCAAAAAAGTTTCTGCAGAAATTTTTGTTTTCATTAGCTTCATTGGAATGTTGCATGCACCTAGTATTATGGGCTAAAATTCTGCAAAAGAAGTGTTGTTTTTTGAAAAAAGTAGCACCTTGGAAGTAAGGGTAGAGATGGATCAATAGGCTTTTCTTTTATCTGTGGTAAGATCTGGTTTCGAGTTCTGGCTAGGTCATAAGCAAAAGTTCTTTACTGGTTTGTTTTTCTCCCTAGACGACTTTTTTCCACATTACTTAAATATTACACAGGAAAACTTGTCGCAGCTGGCAGGGTCCGTTTGAGAGAGTTCCAGGATTGGCATAGCAGAGAAATTGGTTAAAATAACTGGATGAAATTTACTCCTGTAAATTGTACAATTACTCCTGTAATTGTAGAATATTTAATTGCAGAAACTAAAGTTTCCATTAAAAGTCATGAAAAGCTGTCAAGAATACGAGTTATCAAAATGTAACATTTTCACATGCTTTTTACAAAATAGCTTTCTTTTTTGATTATCAATTTTATCCACAACTATCAGAAAAAAAAGTATAACATTTATTTTATAGGAATATGTTGCCTAATTCTGAAATTGATATGTTTATATTTTTGTTCTTATTATTTATTTTATTTTCTCCTTCTTTTCCTGTGATAGGAAAACTGCAAGAAACTTCAACCAACCTATGTGCAAAGCTGCCAAGATAACTGTGGTAGAGGTAAGTATGAACAATGTTTTCTATGTGACTTGCTTATTCCAGAGTAAAATCATTGTATTGTCAGGTAATTCTAAGGTTAAATTAAGAAATGTCACTTAATTGTATGCAGTAACTTACAAAATAATGGGTCAAAGAAAGATTATCTTTTGCATTGTAACTGTTTTGTTGTGAGCTTTAGTATGCGCTGTATGCATTTCTGCCTTCACTGCTGGGAGAACTTTTCTGATCATTCTAGAACATATGTCCAAAATCCATTGCAGGTTCAAGCTTGCCACCACTGCTGGGATATTATGTCCAGTTCTGACGCCCACAGTTTGAGAGAGATCTTTAGAGGGACCAGAAGAAGACCCATGAGAATGACTGAAGGATTAGAAAATATACCTTATAGCAATTAATTTTTTTTAGTTCATTGTTTTTATCTTCACAAACAGAAGGTTAAGGGATAACAGTCTGTAAATATCTACGTGGGAAACAAATATTGATAAAGAGCTGTTTAGTATAGCACCCCCATCCCCAAAATGGCTAGAAGTAGAAGTTAGACTAATTCAGACTGTAAATTAGGTGTATTTTAATGGTGAAAATAAGTAACCATTGGAACAGTTTACCAAGAGTCATGGTGAGAATTCACCATCACTGACAATATTAAAATCCTGAGATTAGACATTTTTCTGAAATACATAATCTGGGAATTGTTTTGGGGACATTCTATAGCCTGTGTTGTATTGGAGGTGAGACTAGATGATCACAAATGGAACTGTCTAGCCTTGGAGTCTATGCATGTAAGACGGGGGGCAATGGGTAACGTAAACTTGATTTTTGTCCCTGCTCTTACATTTTGGAACCACCGGAGTAGAGTCACATTGACTTAAGAAGGAAATGCCTACTAATGGATCTTGATGCAGAACCTGGGCCTGTCTGCTCAACTGAAACTAATTTGAAATAGGAACAATTGACTACACATACGTTAAAACTTCTGTAATCCACATTTTGCTAAACCACACAGTCTACAGAAAACAATAGTGAGTTCTCCCAACCTCTCAGCAAAGGTGTAATTGTGGACCCTGTACTGTAATCTGTATGGGTATGTCTAGACTACATGCCTCTGCGGACAGAGGCATGTAAAATAGGCTACCCAGCATAATCAGTGAAGCGGGGATTTAAATATCGCTGGTTTCATTAAAATAAAAATGACCACCACGCTGTGCCGGCTCAGCTGATTGTCGGCACAGTGCGGCAGTCAAGACGCGGATCGGTCGACAGGGAACGCCTTTGTCGACCGCTCCCTTATGCCTCGTGAAATGAGGTTTACAGGAGCAGTCAACAAAGGCGTTCCTTGTCAACCGATCTGCGTCTTGACTCGTGCTGACAATCAGCTGAACCGGCACAGTGTGGCAGCCATTTTTATTTTAATGAAGCTGGGGATATTTAAATCCCTGCTTCATTGACTGTCAGGTAGCCTATTTTACATGCCTCTGTCAGCAGAGGCATATAGTCTAGACATACCCTATGTGACTTAAGATTGCATTACTTTTACATACCAAAATAAAATATGCTTACTGGTATGCTATAAAGTACTGTCATAATTCAAATTAATCTGCAACTAAAAATAGAAGTGAAGAAATTACTTTTGTGATACATTTTCTTTCTGTCATGCTTGTTAATCTGCAGTAGAATCCCAGTGATCATTAAAATGCAAATTAGGGCGCAAATATCACCAGGTTGCTACTATGTGAGTTTTGAACATGCATTTATAACATCATCAAATTTTAAAATTTCACATGTAATGCCATTATACACATTTTACCATTATATTACTAATCTGCAAGTTAGAAATTTTCAAATGACCCTCACAAGGCATACAAGATTTGTACAAGATTATTGTGATAGCATGGAGGGTATGAATACAGGGGTGCGTTCCCACATACCGTATTTGCTCCCCTTTGTATTGTTGCAAAGATTTTGATCTGTGTGAGCAATTCTAGAAAGCACATTCTGGAGCTGGAACTGAAACTTCTTTTGTTTTATACAGAAATAGTTAGTAAACCTGTCATGATCCAATAAAAGCATACTGCTTGCTTACTGAGTACTCACAGGGAACAGTTCGTGAACAGCATGGAAATCTCTCAAAAATTGTTTAAAACAAAAACGTAACACAGTTTTTCTGTTTTAAATGGAATCTGGATGTAGGCCCTTCTATAGCTTATGCTGTGGGGTTACGTCTAGACCAGGGGTGGCCAACCCATTTAACAAAGAGAGCCAAAACAGTGGTGGGAAAAAATGCGAAGAGCCACACCAGAATTGTCAAGCCAAAAAGAAAAAAAGAGAGCTCCCCAGAACAGAATTGTTGAGCAAATTAAAAATGTTTTTTAAAAAGGAGGCTTTCCCTTTAAGACAGCTGCCATCTTGGGTTTCATTTTTAAAACCTTGCAGCTCCAACCTGGAATGCACAGGGAAGCTGGGGGTGGGGAGCGGGGGGAGCTGGCAGTGTGCGGGAGGATGCAGGAGCGGCTTCACGAGCCACACTTTTGGGGGACAAGAGCCTCGTGCAGCTTGTGAGCCATGGGTTGGCCATGGCTGGTCTAGACTTCAGTGCTATTTTGAGATACCGGAGGTATTCTGGAATAGCTATTCAGTGTCTTTTAAACTTGCATGTTATTTCAAAAATAATGGGCTTGTTATTCTGATATTCCGGTAGCTCTCATACCATGAGGGTTAAGGGATGTTTTGGGAATAGCAGTTTGTGCCAAATTTCGAAATAAGCTATTTCAAAAGTAGATTGAAATAAGAGATGCAATTTGAGTTACACAAGTTGCATATCTTACTTTGACCTATGGGTTCAGTGTGGATGCACCGTTGGGCTTTTTATGCATAGACATTTAGGGAGTAGCTTTGGAGCAGAGAGACTTTTCTTCTTTTTCCACATTGAATGCCCTCTTACTGCTACTGGGAGAGCTTCTCTGAATTCCTCACTGCTATAATTCCATTTAAGACTAGTTGTTAGTTCTATCATAAATGGGAGCTGCCTTTTGGTCCTTCAGCACTTGCAATACCATCGAATTCCGACAGTGCTCTATGCAAGATGGCACATCTGCAATATTTTTTAGCTACTTGACAGAAAAATAAACAGGACAGTGGGGAAAAACTCTATTGTCATAAGCAAAGTCAGAACATTTGGACTGCCTCTGTGCATCTAGACATGTGCTGCCCAAAGCATGTCATGTGACTTATAACCACCAACGAGTGATGCAAGTGACTGACAGGAATAAGTTGCACATCTCTGTGTTTATAGACTCCTTTTTTTTGAGTCACTGGGATTTTTTTCATTAACACAAACTGTACATATTTATGGGGGTATATATACCTCTTTGTATATGGTTCTGTAGGTAATATTAATTTCTTCCCCTCTGTAGTCATATTTATAGGTTTGACTTTTTTCCACTTTAAAGATAAACTGTCCTTTAATTAGGGATGAGTGTCGTAGTCCTTCATACTTCCTAGAAGCATGAATATTATTAATATTATACTACTGGAAATGATATTCTTGATAATGTCCACCGTGGTCAAAAGGAGGAAATGCATGAGAAATCAATCAGTAAGTCAGTGAATATAAGAACATGTCTTTGCAAGATTTCCTGTTGGTTTTGAAGATTTCAGAGAGCATTGCTCATGAATATGTGAAAGCAGCATTTATTTCTGAATATGTATGTTCTGCTACCATTCATTTGAAGACAGTGGGAGTTTTAACATTGACTTCAATGAGGGTATGAATAAACCCTTAATTTTTTTTAATTCTAGTGGAAGATAATTTGACAGCAATATAGGAGGAAAAAACATAAGCATTATTTAATGCTGAAGAGCTGTAAATAATCTAGTTTTAGAGAGGGTTTTGGAGAAGAACTGAGATTATCACTGATATAAACTGGTATTAAAACTCTTTACCTAGAGCTATTGACTCCAGAGCTCTTGGGCCAAATTTTGAGATTAGTCTTCAGCATCATGTTTTGACTACGGGCCAAAAATATCTTCTGGCCAATTTAAATAATTTCATTTCATTTTCTTTACTGGATTAGAAACTTGCAGCTAGACAAATACACAAAGTATTTATTGGCTTGAACAAATTTCTTATGGATAATTAGGTGTCAAATATGATACCCTTTGATGAAACCCTGATAACTATTTGTGATTATGGGGATTTGTACTCAGACACATTCTTTTCAGTCCTGTGAGACTGTTACTATCATTTCAAATTCAACTTGCACGTGACTGAGGGGAAGTATATAGATCATATGAACACTAAATTATTGCAGAGAAAATCATGAAATGATCAAGTTTTGGCGATATTGGGTAAATATGGTTTGTTTTTTCCTATATATGAAATTAAAATGCCAGAGGAGTTAAAGCTTAGTCTTTTCCCTTTCATTTTGTCTCTGTTTTACTTCCATCTAAAGCATTACATTAAATTTTTTTTCATTTTGTTCTGATGTAAATATTCACACTAGCCATGTAATTACATAGATAGCTCTGTGTGTGGATCTATTCCCTGCTTAGAAAACACCACTTAATCTGAGACAGGGGGAGCATTTAAAAAATTTTCCTCTGCAAGAGTTAGGAAATACTTTACTGAAAAATGTCTGTGGAAAATTCAGTTGTCAGTTAATCTTTAATGTGTAAAACTGGGTTTTATGTCCTTCTGTAAGCGTAATTCACAATATTGTACAATTTTAATTTATAGAGTTACCATTCTTTCTTCAATAATTCGGAGTGAGTGTGAGTGTGAACGCACAATAATACCAACATCTGATAGCACATTTCAATAATACCAACATCTGATAGCACATTTCCCCTGTTTTATAGATCTAGATAGTTGCATGGCTTAGTGGACATCTAAAAGGCAAACAATGGTATTGCGTCCTGGTCAAGTCCCTCTAACACTGTTTCCAGCCTCTAACAGAACACAACCTTTGGATCCCACTAGATCTGGGCAAAGACCAGGCATTGTC